ATATATATATATATATATATATATATATATATATAGGAAAATATAATGAGACCATTTACTTTTGGTAAAAGGTGGTCACAGTTAATCTTGACCATTGAATGTGAAATTAGGCGGCTGCATTTATTTCATTGACCAAGCTCAAAGTTCAAAAGAAATTGTCTCGAACTTTGTGACAACCCCAAACTATCATATTTCACATCAGATGGTTATAATTAATTGTGACCTCCCTATAGCAAAACTAAATGATCTTATTGTGTACAATCCCTTTATATGTATCTAAGAAATATACTAAAATGTGAAATCAATGTGTAAGTATTTTATATGTAATGTTGACAGTTTTTACAATTATGGCGGAGTTTTTTCTTGCTATATGGCCTATTTCTTTATTTTCCTATTTTTAAAAACATTTCATAAATGTCTCCAACTATGAAACAACTTTTTTTTCTAAATCCATGTTTTATATTTTTTTAAAAGCTTATTTTAGAATAGTTATAATGTCATTGGTTTTGTGAAATCAATGTGTAAGTATTTTATATGTAATTTTGATACTTTTTTCAATTATGGCGGAGCTTTTTCTTGCCATATGGCCTATTTCTATATTTTCCTCTTTTTAAAAACATTTCATAAATGTCTCCAACTATGAAACAACTTTTTTTTCTAAATCCCTGATTTATATATACTCATTTTTTAAAGCTTATTTTAGAATAGTTATAATGTTATTGGTTTTGTGTGACTTTTGCTATTTGTATTTTATTTTTAATTAACTTTTTATATGTTTTCATATTTTTTATGACTTCTCGCTGAGTCAACTCAGAGTCGTCCGAGTAACTTCGCTCTATGAACAGCCAAGAATTGGCCCAAACCAAGTATCCAAACATTATAAAGCTCTGGAAATATCTATGGATTCGGCCAATTAATGCATTGATCAGTTGTTTTCTAGTCATCATGAATTGGAATACTAGTAAAACATTATTGAATTTGATTCCTCTTCGTAATACAGCCACGTTGTTCGTAACACAATTGCATCGGAAAATCCTCTTTTTCATAGTATAAAATAACCCCGTATCCGTGTCAGTGTGTCAGACACTGACACGCAGTGTGCTCATGAGAGAGAGAGTCACCTTGATGTTTGCAGCAGAAAGATAGGTCACAGCCAATTCACCAAGAAAGAAGGGCTTATCAGCAATTAGGGTTTGCATGCACGCCGAGGCCACCGTTGTTGCAGTGGAAGCCACTCCTCCACCATGAAATGTATTATAAGCATTCTGCAATCATTTAACAAGGCATATTTTCACAAATATGAGAGAGAGAGAGAGAGAGAGAGAGAGAGAGAGAGAGATTGTTCAG